TATATATTAGCTTTATTATATATTTTAAATTCTACAGTGAATATAAATGGTTTTTAGTTATGTTTTGCTGTATAGTATTTAAGATATGGCTAGATATTGTTTTATTGGATGCTATTAAGTATTAGCAGAAATACCCCAAAAATCTCTATAAAAATTTATTTTTATTATTATTATTATTATTATCCAGAACATCTGGGAAAAAATCATTGGATTATATAAAAACTACAAAAATGTAATGCATAATTTAAACTGGTTTCTGATCAAAATGAACAGCATGATTCTCTTTCTCTCTCTCTCTCTCTCTCTCGCTTGTCATTTCTATAAATAACCATCTTCTGTTCACCTGCACCTTTTCTCTGGTGTCTGGTGCTGTGGCACATCGTCTCTGTAATCAGCAGGAGTCTCAGCGCTGTGTTTGTGTGTGTGATCTGCAGCTATCTCGTGTAGGCAGCTGGATGGTACAGTGGCTGATGTGGTTCAGTGTCTGAAGTTTGCCAGCAGCATGCCGGTTATGAGCCAGCCCTGCCAGTTACTGTGCCGAGACGACTGCCAGCTCTCCAACTGGTCCAAGTTCTCTCCTTGCACCTCAGACTGCGTAGGGGTCCGTACGCGGAGGAGAGCTCTCGTGGGTAATTAGGACATATGCGTCATTAACACTGTGGTCTGAACTCAGAGGGTTGCTGGTTCCATCCAAGAATGGAGTGAGGTATTTCCTTGTGTCTCCCTGAGGCACTAAACTCCAGGTAGCATAAATGATAAATGACTTCTAGTACAAGATTCAAGGCATTATGGGATGCATATGGTGATATTCCATTGTAAATATTTTTATATACTTCATATTATCATAGGCCAATGCATTTATAGGGTTGGGCAATACACATGTTTTTGATATATATATATATATATATATATATATATATATATATTACAATATTCAAAATATCTTGATATTTCTATAATTGTTTAAAATGTTGAAATACAGTAAAAAAAATATTGTTGAAATATTTTTATATGCACTAGTATTCAAAAGTTTGGAATTGATTGATTGATTTTTATTTATTTATTTATTTATGTATTTATTTATTTTATGTTTTTAAAAT